GAGCGAAGAGCAAAAACGCCGAGCCCACGTGCACAGAGAGCCTCAACAAACGTGTCCGCGAAGATCACGCACACATTTCGGGAGCTGCTGGGGGTATTTTTTTGATTTGCGGCCCGCAAGGAGAAGTCCAGAGGGCGTTTTGACCGAGGCTGGGGCACAGCGCAAGATAATTGGCGCGAGAACGCGCGAAGTGCACCTGCAAAACAAATTAGGAAGAGAGGCGGCCACAATTGGGCAACCACCGAACACAAGCCGGACCCGCAGGTGGGGCCGGACCGGTACTCTGTCGAGGTACACGCAGACCCAAGCAAAAACCGCTGGGCGGATGCCAGCGGAAGAGAGGCGGCCACGGAAGGGCAACCACAGAATACAGGCCGGACCCGCAGGTGGAGCACCGACCGGCATCCGGAAGAAAGAGAGCGGAGCCAGGTGGCGCGAGCGAAGCGGGCCAGAGGAAGGGGAAGAGGAAGGCAGCAGAGGCGGCGACGAGAGAAAAGGAAAGGAGGAACCAGGCCTCACCCACAGAACACCACACGCGGGGACGCTCACCGCGAAGCCCTCCTGAGTTCGAAGCTGAAGCCAAAAAACCAGGGGCCTGAGGACCTGCGGACGTCTAGGGTATCCGAGCGTGGCCCGAGACAAGCGACACTGGCGGCCGAGGACCCAACAGAATGATGATCACTTCCGTCGCCGACGATGGGGGGGAGCCACTTAGCATACAGCTGGACTTCAGAGGGTGAAGCACGAGGGTGAACCACGGCCCGTACTCAACGCGGGCAAAGAACCTGGGTGGGGTTATTTCAGCCGACCGCAGGAGCAGGAACCCACGGAACGTCGCGGGTGTCTATGCGCAGTGTAGTGCCCCTCGAACCCAGGAGGTGGCACAAGTCCGTGGCCAGAGCCATCCACTGCAGGCGGGCACAGATGGGGCGACGCCTTCAGCCAGTCGGCCCGGTCCTCCACGGGCCGCAACGCGGCCAAAAACCGTGGGTGGGGTGATCTCAGCCGACCGCACGGTCTAGGAGCCCACGAGGGCCGTGGGGGTCGAGCGCAGTGCGGGGAGGTGTACCTCACTCCCAGGAGGTAGCACGGGAACCAAGGCCGCGGCCTGCCACTGCGGCGAAACAATCCCCATCCCAGGGTGGGCCGTCCGTAACGTAGCCGCCCAGTGGGAATCCCTCGTCCCAGGGGCCAGCCCCCACTGACACTGCCTGCGTGAGGCGGGACCCATGATAGCCGCGCCTCTCAGGCGCCAGAGCTGTGGCGACGAGGAAAAGGGGGGTAGCAGCCGATAGCCGCTGAACTTGCATGTAGCTGTGGCGACGAGGAAATGGGGGGTAGCGGCCGATAGCCGCAGGACTTGCATGCACCTGGAGGGAGAGGAGGAGGGCGCAGAGGAGGGGGGGGGGGGCAGCCGATAGCCGCGAGCAAAAAACAGAGAAGGGCCCAACAGGCGGAGACCGAAGAGGACCCAACACGCGTAGATGCCACGTCGGTGGGGGGGCAGCCGATAGCTGCAGAGCAATTGAATAATAAAAAGGGCCCAGAGCACCAGACCCTTGCCCGGAGCGCTCAGGCCCCTCGGAAGCCTCGTAACGGCAGGCCCTTCGAGGGCGACAACTCCCGGCCACTGGAAGATATCCGTCCCACTGTACCCCATGGCGGCCCACGTGGCAGCGCGGCCGTGCTTGATCTCGGTGCACCTCCTCCTGTCGACGACGACCGCACCGCCGCCCATTGCAAGGCCGAGCGGGCCCCCGTGGCCGACGGGCGCCTGCAGGCCCCACGCCCTCTCAATGGCGCGCGGCGGCGGACACGCGCGGGTCGCCCAGTCGCCCCGGGCGGAGCCCTCGATGGCGACACCTCCCGGCCACAGGAAGAAACCCGGCACGATGTACCCTATGGCGGCCCACACGGCGGCTCGGCTCTCCGGCCGCTGTCCAGGAGGGGCACGGGCACCCCCAGGACGTTCACGGCGAGGTGCAGCTGGGGAGGGAGGTGCAGCCGATAGCCGCGAGCAAATGAAAGAGAAAATGGCCCACCAGGCGGAGACCGAAGAAGACCCAACACGCGTAGATGCCACGACGGTGGGGGGGCAGCCGATAGCTGCAGAGCATTTGAATAATAAGAAGGGCCCGGAGCGCCAGACACCTTGCCCGGAGCGCTCAGGCCCCTAGAAGCCTCGCAATGGCAGGCCCTCCGAAGGCGACACCTCCCGGCCACAGGAAAAGATCCTTCCCACTGTACCCCATGGCGGCCCACGTGGCAATGCGGCCGCGCTTGTTCTCGGCGCGCCTCCTCCTGTCGACGACGCCCGTACCCGTCCTTTGCATGGCCGAGCGGGCCCCCGTGGCCGACGGGCGCCTGTAGGCCCCACGCGCTTGCGATGGCGCGCGGCGGCGGACCCGCGCGGGTCGCCCAGCCGTCCCGAGCGGAGCCCTCGAGGACGACGCCTCCCGGCCACAGGAAGAAGCCCTGCACGATGTACACTATGGCGGCCCACATGGCGGCTCGGCTCTCCGGCCGCTGTCCGGGATGGGTTCGGGCGCCCCCAGGACGCCCACGGCGAGGTGCAGCTGAAGGAACAAAAGGGGCACCCCGAGGCAGGGAAACCCAACGGAAGCAGCGACAGAGCCAGAAGACCGAAGAGAACCCAACACGCGCAGCCACGCCAGAGGGGGGGCAGCCGATAGCTGCAGAGCGTTAGAAGAATACGAAGGGCCCGGAGCAGCCACCGCAAACGAGGACCCAACACGCGCCGCGTGCGTGTCATCGGCGAGTGGCGCCGGCAACGTGGGGAACTCCGACGGGGAGAGGCGATCTGAGGTGATGCTCGGCGGTTTCCGCGGCCCCCGTTGCTTCCGCCTTGACTTCCCGCGCATTTCCACTGGCTATGGCAACGTGAACCGGGCGCCACTGACCCAGGTGCAGCTGCCACTGTCGGGTCCAGTCGACGTTGAAGCGCGTTGTTGAAGCCCCGAACGTCGCCTTCGTGGCTGCGGAAGGACTCCAAGAAGAGGTGGCAGGTTTGCGGGTCGTGCCGCAGCGGGTCGAGCGCGCCCTTGCTGCCGGGCACAGGCTGCCGCTTGGCGAAAGCGTGCCAGGCACCAGTGAACACCGGTCCAAGTGTGACTTGGAATCGTGGCATCGCTTCGCCAGGCGACTCCCCGGGGAGGTCCCACTGAATGTTGTTGATTCCAGTTTGGTATAGCTGCTGCCCCGAGTGAGGGTCTGTGGGTTCTGGCCATTGCCGCGGGTCGGGCCTCTGGTGTGGCCGCGTGCCCTGGCCACAATCTTCCACCGCAGGTACCTCGCAGCCATGGCTGGGGGACTCGCGCTCTGCTCGCGGCAACTCCAGCTGCACGCCTGGCACGACCTCGTGGGGAATTACAGGCCTCAAGGTTGGCCGCCAGACCGGCATGGCGCGGGGGGAACTGCTCACAGTTGGGAGGCCTGTGCCAGGATGGGAGATGTGCCCCTGTCTTGCAGTAAGAGTGCCCTGCGCGGCACTGGGCGTCCGCGTACAGTGGCCAGAGTCGACTGCCTCAGCCTCAGCCCGGGGATGCTCTCCTTGCACGGTGCGGGGGGCATATGGCACAGCCACGTCGTCGTCGGCGTCGGCGTCGGCGTCGTCGTCGGCTTCGGCGTCGGCCTCTCCCTCTCTGGCGGTGCCCAGGACACCTGAGGGCGTCGGGGGTTCGCCGCCCATAAGAAGCTCACTGACAGGTGACGGGGGGCGAACTTGCACGGTGCGGGGGGAACAAAGCACAGCCAAGTCATTGTCGGCGTCACCGTCGTCAACGTTGGCGTCGTTGGCGTCAGCGTCGGCCCCGGCGTCGTCGTCGGCTTCGGCGTCGGCCTCAGCTCCGCCAGTGCCAAGCTGACATGGTTCCACCACATCGTTGTCGGCGTCAGCGTCGTTGACGTCGGCGTCATCGGCGTCGGCGTCGGCGTCGGTGTCGTCGTCGGCTTCGGCATCGGCCTCCCCCTCTCTGGTGGCGCCCTGGACGTCTGCGGGCGTCGGGGGTTCGTCGCCCGCAAGGGGCCCACTGACAGGGGACGGGGGGCGAATGGGCGCGAAGAGGTTTCTCTCAACGAGCCGGCATATGGCTATGTCGTCCTGCGACTGGGTGGCAAGTCCGTGGTCTCCCTGTTGAGTGGAATCGATACTGATCCCTACGCCGCTTCCCCAATCGTGCGCCCACTCGTCGTTCAGGGTGGCATTTCTGCACTCGCTCTCGCTCGGAGGCCAACCCCCCGCAGCGTCCATCCCAGTCTTCATGGTACGGCCGTACGCGAGTTGCTTCCCTAGATTCCATTCTGGGACGTTGTCATCTATCCGATACGAATACGGATGTATTCTTTCTTCTGCAGGGGCAGGGGGGTCCTGCGTCTGGGGGCCGGCGCCGCCACTGTCCCCGCCTCCCAGACTCCCCTCATGGCAGGGTGGGGGGCCTTGCCCCGCGCCTTGATGCCTCCTCGGGTGTTCCTCTATCTGCATGCCTGTGCTGGACTCTTCTCCCTGTGGGACGCCACGGTCCGGGATCGTGACCCCTGCCGCACCTTCGGCCGTTCCCATGCCCTGGGCAGGGCGCTCGCGTGCTGCTGTCGGGTCGTTCTGCGCCGCTGGAGGAGGAGGAGAGGGGGAGACGCAGCCGATAGCCGCGGAGACGGGTGAAATGGAGGAGTGTGGGGAGGAGGCGGGCCTGTCGGCCCCTGCGATGCCCGCCTCGACAAACTCAACCTCAGTCCGGGCCTCCGTGCCTTGAAGCCTCCTTGGGCGTTCGTCTATCTGCATGCCTGTGCTGGTGTCTTCTCCCTGAGAGACGTCACGGCCCGGGATCGTGACCCATGCCGTGCATTCGGCTGTCTCCATGCCCTGGGAAGGACGCTCATGTGCCGCTGTCGGGTCGCTCTGCACAGCTGGAGGAGGAGGGGGGGGGGCGCAGCCGATAGCCGCAGAGAAAATAGAATTGGAGGGGTGAGGGGAGGAGGCGGGCCTGTCGGCCCCTGCGATGCCGTCCCCCATGAGCTCACCGAGGGCCCCGATATACGACTCTCCGCAGCCCGCCTCGGTCCTGCTGAGCTTGCCCACGGGGTCCATGGGATCCTGCCTGGACGCATGAAGCTCGAGGGAACCGTAGAGCAGGAGCGTTTGCCCCCAGTCGGCACCAGACACCTTGCCAGGAGCGCCCAGGCCCCTCGGAAGCCTCGCATCGGCAGGCCCTTCGAGGGCGACACCTCCCGGCCACTGGAAGATATCCGTCCCACTGTACCCCATGGCGGCACACGTGGCAGCGCGGCCGTGCTTGATCTCGGTGCGCCTCCTCCTGTCGACGACGTCCGCACCGCAGTCCTTTGCAAGGCCGAGCGGGTCCCAGTGGCCGACGGGCGCCTGCAGGCTCCACACGCTCTCGATGGCGCGCGGCAGCGGATCCGCGTGGGTCGTCCAGTCGCCCCGGGCGGAGCCCTCGAGGACGACACCTCCCGGCCACAGGAAGAAGCCCTGCACGATGTACCCTATGGCGGCCCACATGGCGGCTCGGCTCTCCAGCCGCTGTTCGGGATGGGTTCGGGCACCCCCTGGACGCTCTCGGCGAGGTGCAGCTGATGGAAAAGAAGGACACCTCGAGGCTGGAAAACTCATCGGAAGCAGCGACAGAGTCACGCGGCCGTGCTTGACCTCGGTGTCTCTCCTCCTGTGGGGGGCGTCCGCACCGAAGTCCTTCGCAAGGTCGAGCGGGCCCCAGTAGCCGACGGGCGCCTGCAGGTCCCACTCGCTCTCGACGACGCGCAGCGGCGAATCCGTGTAGGTCGCCCAGTCGCCCCGGGCAGAGCCCATGAGGCCGTCCTGGAGGAACATCCCGATGATGGCCACCATGGCCAGGCAGCCGCTGGCCAGCTCCGCGTTCAGGGACCGCTTCAACTTCTCAGGGTCCGCGATGTCGTCCCCCTTGTACATATAATTAGAGGGCCGCGGTGGCGGCCGCGGCGGGCGCCGGAGCGGGCGCGGCGGAGCCCACGGCCGCAGGCAGCCAGCCGCCGCCCCCGGCGACCCGACCAGCGGCCGCCGCCAGCGGCCCGCCGCGGCGGCCGTCAGCGGCGGCGGCAGCCGCACGGCGCGGCGGGCGCCACCTGGGGGCCGCGGCGGCAACTGCGGCTGCGGCGGCCGCAGCGGCGGCCGCCGCGCCCGCGGCGGCGCGGCCGCCGTGGCCGGCCCAGCGCGCGCAGGGCACGTGCCACAGCGCCGGCGGCCGCCGCAGCCTCGCCGCGGCTGGCCGCCGCGACGGCCGCGGCGGCCGCGGCGGCGGCGGCGGCCGCGGGCGGCGCCGCCGCCGGCCAAGCAGGGGCGGGGGGGCCTGCCGTGCCGCGGCGGCGGCAGGCCAGCCGGGCCGGCGGCTCGGCGATCTCCCGCGGCCGGCCGCCGCGGCCGCCGTGGTGGCCGCCGCGGCGGCGGCGGCCGCATCGGCGGCGCCGCGGCAGCCAGGCGGCGGCAGGCCAGGCGGGCAGGCCGCGCCGCGTGCGCGGCCATGGCGAGCAGGTCAGCGTAGACAACGAGGGGACACAGCGACACGGGCTGGTCGAGGCCGAAAAGCGTTCGGGCGCCCCCTCGAGAGGTGGGAGACTGCCCCGGAGGGGACAGGCCCACCAGACGGCCTCGAGCCAGGCTACGGACGCTGCTGGGGATATTTTTTTTTGATTCGCGGCCCGCAAGGAAAAGTCCAGAGGGCGGTGTAAACGAGGCTGGGGCACAGCGCACGAAACTGCAGATAATTAGCGACGCTGGACATGTGCCAGCAAATAAGGCAACCGAGAAGGCACCGGCTGAAGCCCAGGCGCCTCCACGCGGACCCCAAAAGCCGCTGAGCGTGTGCCAGCAGAAGGGGGGCGGGCAGAGAAGGTCGGACCCGCAGGTGGAGTCAGACAGCCAGGCGGAACGTGCCAGATAATTAACGACGCTGGGCATGTGCCAGCAAAAGAGGCAACCGAGAAGGCACCGGCTGAAGCCCAGGCGCCTCCACGCGGAACCCAAAAGCCGCTGAGCGTGTGCCAGCAGAAGGGAGGCGGCGGAAATAGGTCGGACCCGCAGGTGGGTTCAGACTGCCAGGCGGAACGTGCCAAAACAACTGACTTGCCTCTTGGGGCGTGGGCCAGTGTGTAAGCCACCGAGGGGGCACGGGCCACTGCCTGGAGGGCGTCGACCACCGGAGAGGGCGCCCGCGGTGGCCGCAGGTACCAAGGTGGTGTGGAGCCTCCGCTCCCAGAAGGCCCACCTGTGGCAGGAGCCAACGTCTAGCACAAACGTCAGGGCGGTCGGTGCCTTTGGCCGACGTCCGTGTCCGCCGCGGCGGGCAAGCGGCCAACCTATGAATCCAAAACTGCCGAACGCACTGTCTACACGCCAATGTGTAAGGGGACTGCGGGCGACAAAGTGGAAGTCACTGCACGTAGCCGACTCCAAAGGATGGGGCACCCGGAAGGGCAGAAGCCAGCGTCCGATGCGTCCCGGCCCGCATACGGCGCGGGCAAAATGATTGAGCGGAGCGCGCCAAGAGCGGGAGAAAGCGCCTGGAGCGAGCCATCTCGAAGCACCACGGGCCGCCACTGCGGCCAAACCGACGACGGGATTATTTCAGCCGGCCGTACGGGCTAAAGGCCCACGAGAACGCACGGACGTGTATCGCGGTGGTGGGGGGGTACCTCAACCCCAGGAGGTACCATCAGTCCGCCCCTGTGGCCCACTGCGTCGGTGAAACACGTCCTGTCGCTGGCTGTGTCGACAGGTGTGGCCGCCTGGTGGGAACCCAGTGGCCCTGGGGCCCACAGCAACTCATCCTCCAGCGGAAGCCCCTCCCCTGTGGCGACGAGGAAGGGGGGCTAGCAGCCGATAGCCGCAATCTAGAGAGTAGAAGCAGTGGCGACGAGAAAGGGGGTCAGCAGCCGAGCTGCTGGGGATACGCAAAGCGTGAAGAATCCCACCAGCCCTCTGGGCGTAGGTGGTCTAGAGCAGATCCTCTTCCACCCCTCCCTCCTCCCCCTTGGGGAGGGGTTTACCCCTCCACAATTACTCAATATGAAAATACTCTCTCTCTTCCCCTGATGGCGTCCGGGTGGTGGCCGCGCACCCTCCGCGTACTGTTTTTTAAAACACAGCATTCCCGGGAAATCCCGGGAAACGACTCTCGCTGAGGCGCCGGCGTCACTTTTTCCCAAAATGCTGCTCTCGTTGAGGCGCCGGCCTCATTTCTGCTCCCGAATCGTTCCGAATCGTGTTCCCGCTGCAGCGTGGGCCTCATTTTCGGATCGGTGTTTGGCCTCCGTCGTTCAGGATGGCGTTCTCGCCCCAGCGCGGGCCTTTTTCTCGCGCGCCCATCCGCCCGCCACCACCGCGCCGCACCGCCACCACCACCACCACCACCACCACCACCACCACCACCACCACCACAACCACCACCAGCACCAGCACCAGAACCAACACCACCACCACCAGCACCACCACCACCACCACCAGCACCACCACCACCACCACCACCACCACCACCACCACCACCACCACCACCACAACCACGGACACACGCACGCACGCACGCACGCGCACCACCACCCACTACGCACGCGCGCGCGGAGCCACAGGTCCGCTACGACACGCGTCCGCGGATAGAGAAAATCAGCGCCATGGTAAGGGATGGGAGGGAGGGGTAGGACGTCAGATATGACACGAGCGCACCTAGCTTGCCCTACCCCCCCCCCTGGACCTGGACGGGGGGGGCCGCGGCGCGTTGGAGCGTCCAAGATGGCCAAAGATGGCTTCAAAAGCGCCTCAGAGAGCCCAAGATGGGCTCCAAGATGGCTCAAGACCAAGATGCTCCAAAAGGCCCCAAGACGATCCCAAGACGGCTCCAAGTGGCCAAAGAGCTCCCTAAGGAGGCCCCGACGAGGCCAAAATCGTCCCAAAACCTAAAGAAAAACAATGTTGTTTGCTTTCTCGCCTTTTCGCTTCCGATGGACATCCGAGGCCTCAATATGGCTCCAAGATGGCCCAAAAGGGCCCCACGAGAGGCCCAAGAACCCCAAGACGGCCCCAAAAGCGCCCAAGAGCGCTCCAAGAGGGGCCCAAGAGGCGATTCATGGGGCTCCCGAGGGGGGAGGCTAATTGGAGCTCCCCTCTTGTTTGATCGACTCCCTCCAAGATGGCCCCAAGAACGCCAAGAAGGCTCCCTAGAGCGCCTCAAGAGGGTCCCAAGAGGCGCCCAAACATCCCCAAGAGGCGCCCAAGAGGCCTCCAAGAGGCTCCCAAGACCCCCAAGAGACATCAAGAGGATTTCCGAAAAGGCATTCAAGACGCTTCTGGCTCTTCGGTTCGCCGTCCTCTTCCTCTTCCTCTTCCTCAACCACCTCTTCCTCGTCCTCCCTCCTCCTCCTCCTCCTCCCCCTCCTCCTCCTCCTTATCCTCCTTCTCCTCCTTCTCCTCCCTCTGCTCCTTCTCCTCCTTCTCGTCCTCCTCGTCCTCGCCCTACTCCATATCCCCCTCATTCTCCTCCTCCTCCTCTTCCTCCTCCTCCTCCTCCTCCGACGACGACGACGACGACGACGACGATTCCTCTTCCATCCTCCCCCTTTCGGGGTCTGTGACAACTTCCCCCGCCCTTTGTTATTCTGCATGCTCCCCGACTTCCCGGATCACCTCAACTCCCCTGAGCATCGTTTCTGGATGGGATGGTGGGGATACGCGAAGCGTCAACAATTGTTCTCAGCTGGATTGAACAAAACTGAGCCAGACGATGCTGGATGTTAACGGACGATACACCAGGGCCGATGCCGACTGCAACCTCACAGACATTGCAACGCAAGCTGATCATCACCCTCTTCATGATGGGGTGGAGCGGCCCGAAAAAGCGAAAACCCACCCCCACCCCCAATCCCGATCACATCCCCGAACCCGCGATCCAGGGGGACGGGACTGGGGGTGCGGGTGGTTTTCTGGGGTCCAGGAAATCGAGAGAACCCACCCCGAGTCCCGACCCCTTGAATCGCAGGCTCGG